ACAAACACCCAAAATAGCTTCTTTTCTGCAGAATTAAGTAGGAAAAAGTTAAGTTTAAAAACAATTTCCTCAAAATGGAGCAAGCTATCTCACAGAAACACATTTTCCACTGGTAGAAAAAGCCTTCCTACTGGGAATTCATACAAAAATACTAATGAGCTGTAAAGGTACACTGTAATTTAGAGCTTATTAATTTCTTCAGTCAAAAGAGCCTGCAGGTATCAGCCATAGTCATCATACTACCTACCTCAGCTAGCAATCTATCAATAAACCAAAATCAGCAGTTTGCAACTGTTTGTATATTTTTCTTCCAATGTTTCTCACCGACATCAGCTCCTTAACAAGGTTTCTTTCCCTTAATTTTATGAGAAAACTAACAGGAAAATGTCAAACAGAAAGGCAAAAAAAACATATGATAATTCACTGATGCAGTTCAAAGGTGCTACATAAAACATAGGTTTCATCACTAAGGCTGATCCCTTTTCCAATGCACAACCCGAAACACTTATTTAAAAAAAAAAAAGAAACATGTTAGTGTCCCCTTCAACATGCTTTGTCTGCAGTACATATAAATCTTATTCACTGGACAAACTTTTTTTGTAAAGAGTTTATAAAATTCACACAATCTCAACACTGCTGACAGAGTCATCTGATCTCCTTATTGCCAAAATTATCCTCATATCCCTCATTACCCAAGAATAATCAAGCTTACATGCTACTGAAAATAAAGTATTTAGATGGTAATAATGTCTGCATACACTTGTTCTAATTTAATAAAAGTATTTTATTACAAAGAAAAATATAACAAAAGTTAAGAAAAATTTATCAGTATTAATTAATGCTTGAAGGTAGAATTATGCTTCTTTCAATTGGACCCATTAAAGGGGCTCTAACATAGATTTGCACAGCAAGCTGGAGATTTTCAAGAGCAGATAATGAGGCAAACTAGTACTATTTTAACCCCTCTAGAGTATAATCAGTTGATTAGGTTTTGAAACATTACAAGGTCTAGGACAAAAAGATTAGCTTTAGTTCCTCCAGATCAAAATTGAAAGATAATTAATTAACAATATTATAAGAAAAGGTTTACTGCCATTTTTACATGTCTTTAATGTAATCTTCTAAAGAAAGCAGGTTAAGATACCTTAATTTATCTATTGTGTGAATGGCAGAAGACTGTTCCCTGTTCCAACACTATTTGCTAAACTAATTGCTTGAATTTAAAAATTTCACATTCCCCCAGAAACCTTATCTTACTTTTTAAGGAAAAAACAGCATCAGTGATCTACTTAAGATACATACAATTATTATAAATTAAATACAAAATGTTAAAAATGTCTCAAAATAAAAAAGAAAATGATAATACTACTGCAGCAAAGTATCTATCAGTCTTCAGAAGAAGTAAAATTCTAAGAGAGCATCCTAGCCACTTAAACATAGCAATTAGAAATTATTTTCATTGAAACAGAGAAGTGATGCATATATGTCAGGGATATATAACTGCTAAGAACAGTTTTGAGACACTGCATAAAACAAAAATAACAGTAAAAAATCAGTATAGCAATCAACACACTAATCTCAAAGGAATAACATTTTTACCACACAGCATTTAAAATTAATACATCTACATGCCAGATGAGGCCCAGTTGTGACTATCAGGACAAAAAGCTACCAATACACCAATTTAAAAAAATCAAGAAGGTAAAAGTACAATGGAAAACTCAAATACAATATATTCTGTGTTGAATTTATGTGCAATAATAGACAATAATAATCTTAAGTGCTTTAACAAATTCATTTAATCTTAAATGGTACATCTTTAAATGTTCCACACTACTTCATATTTTAAATGTTTAACACAATATGAAGTTACGGAATAAACTCATAAAAAGAGTTTATACAGAAAACTGAAGATTACAACATTGTCATTTAGGAGTGGTGAAAAACTGAAGTTGTTCTAAGTAAACAGAAGTTCAATGCATATACACTCTAGTCCAAAGATACTGGACAATAGAAGCTTTGAAAAATTATGATTTAGACTTTTATCCCTAAAGCCACAAGTCCCATTTCATGAGTATCTGAACACTTTTCTTCACTGTAAAGTTATGCAAATGTGCTTAAATACCATATTATTTCAGAATCATAGTTTTCAAACTTACTATTTTACTTGATTTTCAGTAATATCCATTAAAATAGAAACCTCTCTAATACTTGAAATATTTATGAATTAAGCTTATTTAGCTTTCAGTATGAGCTAACTGCATGGATGAATCTCATCTAGGCTGTGGAGAATATGCTCTCATATTTACAGAAATTTTTAAAGTCCTTTTAGGCATGTCAGGATAAAGCCTAAGCACAACACAAGAAATATGATCTCATGTTCTCCTTATATGGTTTTCTTGTTATTTCTAGAAGCAATAGAAGCTGACATCTATGTCAAATGTTGAGACAGCCCACTGATTTTTCTTTTTTCCCTTACTCAGCATTGATTTATACAATCAATTTTTGGTGGCCACTCAGAAATTCCAAGACAATAAACCCTACAACACATTATCTTGTTGTAACTGGTATCTCTGTGTGATGCATGAAGGCAACGAGAAAAACAACAGAAGACATGACTGGCTAATTTCAACTTCCTAGATGTAAAAAGTTAGTAAAGTGAAATACACAGCCTTCAAGTCTTCCTGTCTGTACTTTACAGAAAAGAACATTCATTACCACGCCTGTCAAAATGCATATTTTAACAAGCAAACTATTTGCATGTTAATTACATAAATAGTATCTTTTCTTCCTTAGATGAACGAAGGAGTACATTCAGTAAAACAAAATAGATAAGAACACTAAATTTTTTTTTAAGCCAGCCCCATTCTTTGATACCAAGTCACTAAAACCTAACACACAGGGAGCAATCCCTCTCTTGATTCAATCCTACAGCATTCAGCTAATGGAAGAGGCAAGAAAGTCAGCATGACATCACCTCTGTACACTGCTTTCATACCATCTGGTGCACTTCACAACCTGCACTCCCCAAGTCAATGACACTCTAAGGGAAGCTAATTGTAAGGGCTGCATTAGAGTTGTGATCATCAGCAAAACAACTTCTGTTCTCCTCATCTGTTAGAATCACCGAATCCCAGAATATCCTGATTCGGAAGCAACTCACAAGGATCATAAAGTCCACTCCTGGGCCTGCACAGGACAACCTCCACAATCACACCATGCACATGAGGGCATTGTCCAAATGCTTGTTGAACTCTGGCAAGCTTAGTGCAATGGCCCCTTCACAGTGGAGCCTATTCCAGCACCCAACCACCCTCAACATGAAGAAACTTAAATATCCAACCCAAACCTACCCTGACATCTCCAAGCCAATCCTTTGGGAGCAGGAAGAGATCACTGCTGCCCCACCTCTTCCCCTGATAAGGAAGTCTTAAACCACAATGAGCTCTCCCCCTCATTCTCCTCCTCACCAGGCTGAACAAGCCAAGTAACCTCAGTCATTCCTGTCTTCCTCTTGATGGGGCTTCCCCTCAAGGCCCTTCACCACTGTCATTACTGTGGTACCCAAAAACAGCCCGCAGCGCTCGAGGTGAGGCTGCCCCAGCTCAGAGCAGAGCAGGACAATCCCCTCCCTTGCCTGGCTGGTGAAGCTGTGCCTGATGCCCCCCAGGACAGGGTTGGCCCTCCTGGCTGCCAGGGCACTGCTGACCCATGTGCAACTTTCTGTGAACAAGGATCCCTGTATTTTCTGTTGGGCTACCCTCCAGCCTCTCATTCCCAAGCTGGTATGTATATCCAGAGTTTTACCATCCTGTTGACAAACTCTTCTTTCCTGACTGCCAAATTTCCATGGTTTTAGTTACATTTACCAGCCTCTCTCCATTTCCACATGGATGATGTAAATGCATTACACCATCAATTTCAGATTTCTGATCAATTAAGAGTTTCAGCTTCTGAAATTGATCTGAAACCACAGAGAGCAACCTCATGGAGAATGCACATCCTAGGTTCAGAACTGCCACAGCAGGCAGCCTTCTTAAAAGCACAGAACTGCAAATATATTCCTATAAAGGTCTTCACAGGTATTTTGTCTTTCAGGTAAGGATAGGATAGAAATCATACATTGCTGGCTTCTAAACATGATATGTGTGTATGCACCAAACACATTACACATCACACCTACAGTCATGAGACACCACACTGAAACTTCAGCCACTGTGTAATACAAACTAAAGTTTATTCAATAATAAACAGTATTTTAATTTTATTTATTGTATTATTTTATCAATAATTACATCTTTCATAGCTCTACATATTATACGCAAAGTAATGCATCATATTACATCTAATATATTAAATAGTGGATAAAATTCTATAGTATGTAAAGTATATAATATAGATTATATATGGGACACATAATCTACTATTTATACATTATATCATCTATAAAATAAACAATTACAAATCAAAATACAACACATCTATTGTACTTCATATCATATGTAACACATGCATGTTTTCTATATATTTGTTTAAATATGAATTGATTCAAAAATAAATAAAAAGAGAAACACCACCAGTTCAGCAGTGTTTCTTGTCAGGCAGAAGATGCATCTGCTTAATTATTTTGTACTTGTCAGGATGGCAAATCTCACCAAGATGTGCATGGGCACATTACAAACCAGAACACTCTGCTAGATTTAGATCCACGTTTAGGTTAGACTATAGGGTAAGATGAGGCAAAGAATTGACAAGATTTTTCAGAAAATTTTAATCTAAAATGAGATTAACTTTTTAGGTAACAGATCAACTGTTTGAACAACACAGAAAAGTTTAAATAATACTTCATCAGAAATTCATAATCTCTAAATCACTTTTTTCACTCTGAATACAACTTTTTTCTTAAGACACAATAGCAAACTATTTTCTCATTTTGACAAACACAAATGTGTTGGCAATGACAAGTTTTCTTAACCGCTCTATTTAAACATAATACAAACATGTTCTAGAGAAACATGTTCCATTTTTCTATCTTTGGCATGCAAAATCTCTAAAATGCTTCTGTCCTTGACTTCAGCTTTCTGGTTTTCTCTGGAAACAAACAAAAAAATAGACACTTTATTAGTCGTAATTTGCAGTTAATCATTTGAATTTTTCATGTCCTGATAATGAATGTCATTTTAAAGCACAGAAAATTAAATTATCTGAAGCTGACAGGCCCTGCAGAATTAATCAGGCAGCATATGGCAAGTGACAGCAAATTACATCTGTAAACATCTAACACAGCTTTGTTCAAAAAGAAATAGAAATAAGTGGTCTTAATATTTTTAAAGCAGCTGAAATTATGTTTCTCATTCTTTCCCAAATGCAGAAAGTGTACTTGAACATAGTGAGCAAAATGCTTTTGCCCCTTATTTGCAATGCAGAATCACCAAGCTACTTCAGTTTGTGAAGTCCTTATCTCAGTTACGTAGCATTTTTATGTCTGAGACAACAGTTTCGAACATCATGGATAATTGTTTTATTTATTCTGTCCTTACATTCCACAGGGACAGAATGTGTAACTTTTACCAGCAGGAAAAAAAAGACTCAGAAGCTTAAGTAAGGGAGATGAGCAGAGCCATACCATGTGGTTAATAAGTGCACATCTGTTATCACCTCTGCGACACTTTGTTTTGTTTAACAAAGTACTTCATCTCATTGCTATCTTATTTCTTAACTGAGTTCAAATACTGATACCCTTGCTGGCTTTGGTTTTAGGCAAAAGGAAAATAAATATTGCAACAGTAAGGATATTCATATTCTTTAGCACAAGTAAGAGTTCTTAGCACATGTATGACTTAAAAGGCTGAGAAATATTCCCTAGAAATGTCCAAACTATTCAGGCAATTCCAGCACCACAGGTGACAGAAGCAGAAGTTCATTCAGATTATCTGTGTTCTCACAATACACTTAAAACTTTCATCAGGGCTGGTATCAGCCATCTATGGAAGCTAGAGAATCCTACTTGAGCAACTCTTCCTCTACCAAATAAGGAATATTTCAGAGCTGGAATGGGATGAAATACACGAAACTGTATACATGAAATTGCAAATCTTATCTCAAGTCGATGAAAATATCCAGCTGTACACAAAAGGCTTAATCTGCCAAAACATTCTGTAACAGTGGCCAATAAGGATAGTAGACACATGGACGATTATTTTTCTCCACTATTAAGTATTACTGTGTAGTCTAATGCTATGAGAGATTTTAAAAATTAAACTACACTGACATAATAGACCATCCAATAACATGGTGGTTTTTAATAAAGTTCTATGACTGTTAAAATATCTAATCCAATCTTGAGTAAACAAAGAACTAAGGAAAAATGGTATGGAATTTGAAGCGAGGGTTTTGGAAATTCTGGTCTCAAGACTTCGTAATTCTAAATAGCTCTCTCCTGCTTCAAAAATACAGCAAGGATATGTTGTAGGACTTGAAGAAAACTAAGAAAAACGTACCTGAAAAGGTATCATTTAAGCTATATTTAGCTTAGGAAAAATAGCAATATATAGGAAGCAGTCTTAGTCAGTTACATCGCATGAAAAAAAATCTACTTCATAAAGAAAATAACTCAGTGCTGTGAAATCAGATGATGAATATTCAACAAGTATTCCAAAAGACATTGCATATCTGAAATGTATTTAACATTTTAAGTGAGACAGAAACTTAACAAAAAAAAGAACATCAGATACTGACCTTAAAGCATCTGATCACCTACAATCAGAACCATCAAGCCATTGCTTGATAGGTTGCTAGAAAGTCATAAAAAGTAAAATAAATAGTACAGACAGTTTTTCATAGCTTATTGTTGCAGTTTCAGAGACAGACAAGCAACATGACACTCCATGTTCATGCAGCAACAGCCAGTGTTTATTGAAGGGCAGTCCCTTTTATAGGGGCTTCAAATTTCCTGCTCATAGAGTCGACTGGAGAAAGGTTTCAATTTAACCCAAGCTCACTGGCCAATGATGTGGGTGCATCCTTTGTTCAAAGGAATTGGCTGGGGTCCCCTCGTTCAAGCCTGAATTCAGCCCATCACTTTCATACTTGGGGATTTGTTTACTTCAATGAGCTAACAAGCCAGCTGGTCGAGTAAGTCTCTGTCAAGGCCAAATTGTTTGTGCAGCTATAGTCCAGAGGTTAAAAAGGTTTCAAAATGCTTCGCCCTGCTTGTAATATGTATCTAGCTAACAGAAGTCACATTCTCAGCATGTTTTAAAAAATAGTAAAAGACTTTCCGGTAAGCATATAAAACTTCATACTAGAAGATAGTAGAAGCCTTAAAGAACAGGAGTTAGTAAGGAAAAATGTAAAAATGGCTGAACTGTTTATTTGTGTAATACTTAGCACAAAAGTTTGTGCATGTTTCTGAAGGAAATATACTGTTCATGATAGTTACAACTCAAATGAAACAAAAACTGTTCCAATATAGAAATATTAATGCTTCTTCATATTAAGTTCCTTTGCTGTGGGATCCTAAATGGCAATCAACAATTACCCTTTCTCCAAGACAACAGTTGCAGTAATCAAAGCCAAAATATCTGGGGAGGAAGGTTATCATTCTCCCATAAGCATGCTACACCATAATCTTTCTGAGGAAGTTGATCTAAAGCTGATCTTTACAGCTGATCTAAGCTGAAAGAACTGTAACATTCAATGTTTCCTCAGGTCTTAGTCACAGCTAGACAACTTAAGATTAGACACAAGCTAGCTGATCCAAAATCCTAAGAGCTTTAGAAGACAAAAAGCAAAGTAGGTCTTTACTACAAAGTACTTGGGAGAGTCAGGTGCAGGCACAGAATAAATACTATTAACCACCCATAAGCGCCATGAAGTACTAAATAGCATTGCCACCAGCCCTCAGAAACATCCTGACCTTAAGTCTACCACCCACGATATGCCATCATCATCCCAACTCTAACCACCATTTCTTCTCTCAAAGTCAGACTTTCATAAAGCAAGACTCAATCAAGACACAAAAACTGTGTATTCAGATACCCTCCTAACTGAACCATGCAATCATCACTTGAAAATTATTACTCAACTTGCTTTCTAATGCATTAAATGATCTGAAAACCTGGTAAGTTAAATAGGTTTCCCTAAGGACTTTACAGTTTTAAGTGGTTAATTTTTTAAGATTTATTTTAGGGAGAAAACTGAGGAAGTGAATAAGTGAACCAAGAACCAGGTAAAAACAAACAGCTATGAAAAACAGTATGCACAGCTAATTCTAATTTATTATTGGTAGTTAAGAACCTATTGAGCCCTCTGACTTTAGGACATGGTTTCAAAACACAGGTCCACAGAATAAAGTCTGGACTGGAGAGAAAAAAAAGGAAACATATCACTATTAAAGCAAAATATATACCTGGAAAATAGTTACATACTAGCCAACAGTTCACAGCACATTTCTAGTTAAATGCAGTGTTTAGCTATGCAATGCTTGGTAAAACACTCCTTCAAACAAAGATGTCAAATAACATAGTTTATAGAAACAGATCTATCATCATCATCATGATTGGGAGAAGTTTAAATTTAATATATTTTGCCCTTATGATGTTTTCTTTCAAGATCTTTAGATACCCATGCTTGCTAATGTGCCCAAAAATAGTTTAACATGTAAATACACACAGATAAAGAAAAATGTTTTAATTATTAGAAGTACATAATGGAAGTTGTCAGAAGCCTAAAGTATAAACTGAAACCTCAAATGCAAGTATACCAGCAATTTCACCTGATGGCACAGGACATTTTCCCATGCTTCTTACAGGATAGCTCCCCACATACACTCAAGATGGTATTTCAGACTGGAACTTACATACCATATTTGGATCTGCTGTCACACCCAAAAATGGGACTTGGTAAGAATTTCAGTCATCATCTCTTCTTGTTTAAAAGGGTAACAAATATTGAGAAAAAAATCTGAACAATTTCATTCATTGAGCTTTTCTGTATTTAAAATGTGTTTTTAAAAGTCTATTGGAATATGGGGGGAAAAATTCAGGCACTGTCAAGAAGCTGATGATGATCAATGACTGAGACAAACTCCTGTTTAGCTAATTAGAATCACTGATGAGCAATAATGATGTGAGCTAAGAATATGTGCAGACTTCTTTAGGATGAAAAATGGAGTGAAGAGAGGCTGTCAATTTGTACAAGTTCTAAGCTCCAATCAGTTTTCCCATGAGTACTACCTATTTTAAATGTTTAACACAGATGCACTTAGCTACAAAGATTATCAAGATTCAGCTTCCCACAAAAATGAAGGAACTGAGAAAACATTCTTAGGCTTGACACATTTCCTCTGTTATAATTTTCTTCCTGTATTACGCTTTACTCAGTTATACAACATGATAATGTTCTTGATGTTTGGCACCATTTTAATGGCTTGCCAGAAATTAAACATTAGACTTTGAGAAAGCACTTATCCATGAATGAGATATGAAAACAGCAAAAACCTTAATACTGAAAAAAACAGAAGTCTTTTCAAGTTTCTAAACAACATCCTTCCTAAAATCTTCAGCAAAAGCAAAAGACAAGCAAAGAGGTATCCTGTACTGTACCACAGGTCTTAATCAAAAAAGTACTTAACCATTTGTCAAGAAAAAGTAACTTGGAGTCGTATATAATTATGTCACATTTACATCAATTACATGAAAATAAATTCAACTAATAAATTGAATTTGCTGTTCACATGTTTCATGGAATACATACTATCAGTTTTAAAAATCACTGAATTAAAAAAAAAAAAAAAAAAACAACCAAAAAACAAAACCAACCCCACAAACAACAAATCCAGCCAAAAAAAAAAAAACCCACAAAAACAAACACCAAACCAAAACAAAAAAAACCCCTCAAAACATTCCAAAACCAAAATCATATCTACAAATTTGGTCTTTTAACAGAAAGTTAAGATTACACTGTAAATTTTGGACAGTGTAAAACAGTAAAGGCTGCATTTTAACAGTGTATCTCTATAACAAACTGCTTCTAGAAACACTGTTACTTTTGAAAGCCATTTCATTCATTGATTCTAAAGGATCTGCAGA